ATAAACACAATTATAAAAAGAATAATAATTATAATTTATTAGTTTATTTTTAAAAGAAGTTTACAAATATTATATTAAAATAGAGAATTCGTTCATAGAATTAAATTTCTTTTTGATTAATACAAACAAAATAGGCAATTTCAATATATCATGATGAATCTTAAGTGCAATTTATACAAATTAAAACTTAAAATTAGTTTTAATATTTCTAACATATATGGCATATAAATTATATTATAAAAATGGACCTTCGGCTATATATAAAATAAATTTTCACCATTAAAATCAAACAAAATTTCTCTTTCCTGCTACTCACGGTAAAGTACAATATGAAAATTACGATTTTTACAATACATTTTCATTGTAGAAATAATTATTTTCAATACGTTTTAATTAGTTCAAACATAATACATATTTAATTTATAAGAATAGCTAATTTATGTGGTAGTAGGTTGTGAAAAAATGTGAAAAACTTTATTTTAGACGAGTACCTTACTCAACTCGTTCTGCAGCAATTTCACGTATTTAGAATGGCTCTAACTTTTATCGGACTTCTATTCAAATTTTTCATTAGATAACAAGAATGAAGAAAATTTCAAATTAAATTTCCTTTTTATTTCAAACGATAATATAGATTCTTATAAATTACGAAAATTTCTTTAGTAGCTGATTAACATACAAAGACATTGCATTGTAAGTATACCGATCTTATATAATCACGCAATTCATAAATTCGGTGACAAATAATCAAAATTTAAAGAATCTAATTTTTGCTCGAATATTATATGACTTGATTAAGATAATTTGCTCAAATTGTAATTTAATATTTCAATGTAATATTCAAATAATGAAAAAAAAAAAAAAAAAAAAATGGAAGCGCGTTTTTATTAATCTATTTTTCACGATTATTATTTGCTAGTATATTTACATATTGAAATTTTTTTTTTTTTTTTTTTTTAATCGCTAATGACGATTATATTATTTATATATGACGATTATAACAAACAATCAAAACAGTGTATATATAAAAAAAAAATTCAAATCTCTCGTCTCTTCGAATGCTCTTATTGAACACTTGACACAACATTGAACACAAATCATACTTAATTGTTAAAAAATTCAAAAATAAATATTTTTAATATTTAAAATCTTAACAAATGTGTATTAATCATAAATTAATGCGATAAACATTGTTTCCACAGTCTAGCGATATTTATATTATTGACATTGATCGGTCTTCGATGCCATATTATTCTCAATTTAAACAGATTTTCTTTTTCCAATTATTAATTTAAATTGATTGCATATTCAGTTTATTTGAATTGAATAATGATCGTCTCCTTTCGAAATGAAAAATTTATGTTTACCTAAAGTAGATTAACCGAAACAAAATCATGGAATTTTATATAAATAAAAATTTTTCTACCGCATCGATCAACTACGCTAATTAATTTTTAAAAATTAACAGCATCAATGAAACGAAAGCTTTCCTAATTAAATATCTACTTGTAAATTTAATATTAAACTTTTATTAAATTTATGTTACACGGTAAGAAAATCTCCGAGTCATAGAGAGAGGGAGAGAGAGAGAGAGAGAGAGAGAGAGAAAGCTATTTAATAATTAATTTGACTAACTAAATAGCAGCTTTTCAAAACGAACACTTTGAATGAGATTTAAGGATAAGTGCTTTTTCTTAAATAAAACTTTATTCGTATTATTCCTTCCCACGACTCAATCAAGTTCAACCGACCACCTTCCACCTTCTTGCATTTACAAAATTTCAATACTTTTATTTCTTAAAATCCAAGGCATTCTATATCATTGATATTTCTATTTTCTCCAATTTCTACATATTATATCACATATACGCAAATAAATAGAATCTTATAATGAGTGATGGATTCACGAGTTTCCAATGGCCCTATGAAAAGTTCCAATATTCCAAAGCTTTCGTCAAATCAACTCTTAAGAAAAATAATCGGTACCTTATACGTAAAGCAACCTTAAACATCGGCCTTCCATAACGGCATTAGGCAAGAAAATACGTTTAAGAAATTCTCGCAGCTACATAAAGGCTACATAATGAGATCCGAGCGATCATTCAAAATGTAGAAAACTTCCCGTTCATTCGCGTGGATACGTAGGCCCTCCTCCTGTCCACGTGGAGGCGTCGATTAAGCTCGGCAATGCTAAAAGCGCTTAAGGCGTCGGTAGCTGGAGGCTCGTGTCTGGCACTAAGCCAAAATAATGCAACCACACGCTAGGTTAAGCAGATTAAGCGTATGCATGGTAAGAAAGGTGGACAGAGGCTATCTGTCTCGCTCGCGCCCCTGTTTGTCCATAAATCGAGGATTCTCCTATCCACCTCGTGCTTTCTTTGCTTTTCCCTTTATAATTGGGTATTTGCTTGACTTATCGTTACCATTCGTTGAACGAACTTGCACTAGGCCAATTAAAACAGGAGTGGTTGAAAATTATTCTCGCTCGTACGCTGTTACATTGATATATATAACTGCTCCCTTGTACAAAGTGCACCAGGCATGCTTTGCTTTTTTGAAAAAAATTTTTTTTCTTCGCCTCAACTTTCGTGACGCGTTGCCGATACCTTTGTAGCGTTAGAGTTGATAATTGCATGGATGGTTATTTTTACTGGCAGATTATAACGTATTGGAAACATCAATACTTGACGAGTGAGACTAGCAAAATTTTCACCAACCGACTCCGGTAAGAATGATATGAAAACAATTTGGACACCTTGTAATATAATTTGACGCAAGCTTGGCAAAATAATTAATTTGCCATTGCTCAATAATAATAAAGTATTTGATGAATCTGATGATAATAAAATTTTAGCTCAACTCAGTAAGAATTGCGATATAATGTTTATAAAGCCATATATGTTTAGATATATATGTTTAGATCAAATTACCTTTGAGATTCTAAAAAATACGCTAAAACTTTTTGATAATAACATAGAACATGCTTTTTGAATTTATTAAAAAATTTACTTATTTTTTATTAACAGCCTTTTTTCACCACAATTCAATATTCAATTTACATCAAGGAATTGATGTTGAAAATAATTAATAATAATCTTATTGTTTTAAATAACAATTAAGTTTTTTGATTAAAGTAAAAGATGCCACTTTTCCTAATAAATGTATTTATATTTGCATACTCTTAATTCTACTAAATTTAACTTCATTAAATAATCTCGTACGGAGCTTAAATTTAAATTTAAAACTGACTGTCGCGGATTGATACATGCATTTATTATTTGACCGATAATTTTGATTATTCGTCAAAATGAATAAAACATTATTAAATTTTCGACTGTATATTTTAAGATTTATACAATATCAGTTCGGCCATTATAATTTTTATCTCATCCAAAGTCGCATCAATCATGCCACGAATCTTATCACGTCCAATTATTTTTATATTATCTTTATTGTTTTTATTATGTACATTAAAATAAAATTCTAATAAGCCGAAATATCGTTAAATATATGTTCCTTATATTCCACAAATTTAATATGACGAAAGCCACACAAGAGCGTCAAGTTTGAAAATTGAAGTTCGTTGTAGGGTCGTATGTAGAAAATTATCGATCCACGATTATAAAGCGCACAAAATATAAAGTAATTGAAAGATACATTGGTTTTATATGGTATATAATTTAAAGTACTTGGACGCTCGTTTGAATGTAACGTTTCGAATTTATATTATTATGTCACTATCCATGCCACTCGCTCGATGCAATTACTATAGCTGCTTGGTTATGTTTCTATATTACACTCATTAAACGACGTTGCAAGATGTTGTTTAATTAAAAATTAATTTAAAAAATCTCAGGACAATGACACTTGTTTCTCTTATAAAATTATAATTCAAACATCAAGTTGTATACGTTGCCGTTTAATCGAAGCAGTCAATTTATTATAGAAATAGTACAAGGTAATTGTATAGTGTCGTTTGAAGCGAATATATCACCTTCGCTTATGCGTATTTGGCATCGATTCGCTCCAAGATATGGGATCACGTACGAACTAAAATGTCACTCTATCGCTGACTTTTTGAAAAAGTGAAAAATCGATTACCTTTAAAGTCCAAAGATTTCAGTATTTGGAGACACGAGTCACAAGAATGGAAGACTAGCGACAATCTGATATGGCGCGGATTTACGAAACGACGACCCCATCTCGTTTCCGTAGACATATACGCACTCGCACAGGATAGATCACATCGCGATCTAATTGTAGATCCAGACTCTTTTATTAATTTTCCCAGGATGTCGCCGTTCCAAGTGAGGCAACAGGCGGCTGCGAATTCATCCGAAATCCATCGACGCCAAGGGCTTATAGAAGATGAGATGGTGAGATGAAAGGGTTGAGGAACTTTTCAAAATTTAATCGCTCGGACACGCGAAATGACGGTACTTTGAAACAACCTTTTTATCGAAAATCGTCTAAGTTGCATAATAAAGAACCAGTAGTCAATCATTCAGTGAGTTGTCGAGTTGTTCCAGCACCTTTGAAAATTTATTACATTTGAATCTTCATTGATATTAATATGATGGATATTAATAGGTGTCGGCGAGTACATAAATAAATTATTCCTATATTTGTGTGAGTATCACACGGTCTTGCCTGGTGAATTTTTAAAGAACTTTTGGCATGTAGAGTAGAAATTAGGTACGGAGGGAGCAAGTACGTTCTTACCTGTACACTCACTCCTTTTAATCTATAACTATTATTAGCTCTGTAGCACTAGGACATTTCGATAGATAAGTTTTAATGTCTACCAGTGGTACTTTTCACCAATACATATTACATAGTACGTAATGTAAAGTTATGTCTTGAAAGACATCGCTTCGATTTATGTTTTGCATCGCTAATGGCGCAAAAGTAAGTAATACAATAAAGCTCAGCTTCATGTCAGCGAATGTAATTTTTGCCATTAAATATTAGCCGACAAGAATATATCACGAGAAGTGAAAATGTTTGAACCCTTCGCCAGCGTCAGAGTCGACGAGAAAAACCCGTGCTCCTACATTCCAAGAGATTGCGCCCAGAAAAATCCTGAAATCCTGTATAATTACGGCATGAGCAATGAACATTTTCCATTTGGCAAAACCACCGTCCCAAAGCTCACCGCATGTTCGAATAATAAAAGTAATGTCGTAGGCGCACTTACACGCGCATAGATTGCAAAAGCACGACTCGCAACAATTCTGACCTTATTAAAGTGCACCAACTCTTTCGAGGATATCTTGTGAGTCATTTGTGCAGCCGAAACTTGCACACAAAATGAAAAATCCGGTTGATTTGTTACATTAGCCGATAATTAAATTGCGTCTCCGAAACCTACGGCTCCCCCCCCCCCCCCCAATCGAGATTCCCTTCTTTTACTCGCGACTTCGTAAGCGATGATGTTATCCTCGTACTTTTGCAGAAAGCATAATGTTCATCTGGTGAGACGTCGCTAGTCTCAGTACTTCCTCAAATGGTCGGACTTTTTGAAAAAGGCATTGCGGACTATGAGGCCAATATTTAAGAGTACCTTGTCTTTTGAAAGTTAGCTACTCTAATTGCCGTACTTTCAATTTTCGTCTAGGAGCTCTATAATTTACGATACTTTATAATGATAAATTTTAGTGTTCCGAAAACTTTTATAAATGAGGATTATCTAGTGAATTTTTAATATCTTATTTAAAATAAAATCCAGTCTTATCTTGCAAAGTTAGAACAGAAGATAAAAGAAAATTTTAATTGTTTGTGTAACGCAAAACCCCTAAATTTTTATAAGAATTAAATTTAAATTAAAAATTATTCCTTTTTCATAATGATTGAAGCCTAGATTATAATTATTAAAAAAACAAACAAACGAAAGTTGAAAGAAAAAACTTTGAGGAGAATGTAACAGAACTTGAGAGAGAGAGAGAGAGAGAGAGAGGGAATTACTTATATTATTTTGTAAAATGAAGCTTAAGTCATTTTATAATGAATTAACTGAAAAGAAAAAAGCTATTATACTTGATTTTTCTAAAAATAATATACTATTTTTTCTAACTATATTCTAAGAAAAAAATTTTACCAAAACAAAAACTCGTAAAACATTAATAAAATCGTTATTATCGGCAATTAATTCATTATAATTTTACGCAAGTAGAGCAAATGTTAAAATTAGAAAAATCAAAGGTTAATAGAATTAATATAACAAGTTTAAATAAAATTTCAAAAGGTTGTTCTATACAAAACTTCATTGTTTCGAAATAAAGACAATATAATAAATAATATGACTAATTATTTCTCATACAGACATATTGTATGTTACTTTTTATTAAGTCTATTAGTACTTTTAAAAGTTAGAATAACACAATCAAAAGACACTTTTATAAAATAAAAATAATACACAATATACATTTTCAAACGTGTATATATATGTATATATATAGCATTTTCTACTCTATGTACACAATTTCTCGTGGTATATAATAAAAGAAGAAATAAACTTATGGATAAAAGAGACATTTCAGAATAAGAATTTTATTATTTTTTGCCTTCTCCTTTTTCCTTATTCGTTCTTTCTTCTTAGTCTACGTCTAGTCATTTATCTATCTCTCTTATTTACCCCCCACCCCCACCCCCCACGCGACACCATCATCGATAAGCTGCCATCTTTAACATAAAATTTCAAAAATCGCTTTAAAGCGCGCAACAAGGCTGACAAGAACTTGATAAAATAAGTCTTGCATGAGCGACGATCGGGTGACCGATGATCGGGAATCAGCTTTTTACGGCCATCCGGACAATACACATAAGGCCATATAACGTGCCCGAGAATCCCAGGGTTAGCTTGTAAAGACATTGTTGCGGATTAAGGATGAGCGGCATAACTCTTGGTATATGTTTACACATAAACAAATTTATTTATCCATCATCTCTTCATAGCTCAACCGTTACGATGCATATACGCAAGATCCGTGACACGAGTAATATGGAGTTATGATGTGTCGACAAAGGAATGCCCCATCCCACCTCTATAACTGTCTTGGACGTCATAACCTATTCGAGGATTTTGACGAGCCGATTTATTTTCGGTTTCGTGGAGCAATTCAATAACGTTCGACACATCGTTCCAATGATTCGTCGGAATGGACGACGAGCAGCAGCCAACTTTCGAACCGACAACTTAGCTCAGTGAACTTTCATAGTGCACAAAATTGTTGAACATACGTTGAATTTCAAAAATAGATATTTGCATCATACGCAACTCCATCAAAATCCAAGCTGTTGGAAATTTTTGACCGACGATTTATCATTGATCCACGCGATTCAAAACTTACCTCGGTATCTCATCTTATTAACTTTTGCAGTCGCTTCCAAAATACGCTTTAAAATGAAAAATGAAAACAGATTGTTAAAGCTAAAGTAAAATTTTTAATTTCTTTGCAAGTCAAAAGCTTTATTTAAAATTATATTTCAAACCAGTAGTTATAAATTGACAATTTCACTAAAAAAAAAAAAAAAAAAAGAAAAAAATTCACAAATTATTAAAGTATATATTAAGCTTCCGATAGAAGAATTTCCTCGAAAAATATGCTGATACATCTCGGCATGCACATGCGCTCGCACGCGCACACGGGCACACAAGGTAATCTGCATTAGAGAATGTATGTTTATTTTCTGAAAAGAATTATACTCTATCCAAAATAATAAATAACTTTATAATAATATCCAATCTGCCAAAAAACAACAGAGTAACGAAAGTTCGTGTTGTATGTTTTTCGAGAAATTTCGTATAGCAAACTATTTGTAGCTCATAGGTACGTATGATATAGCGAGCCAATAAGCGTATAAGAATCTTAAATTGGCTAGAGCTTTTAAAATCGGAATAATTTATTGAAATTCAACTAGGAGAAAGAGCCAGGCGCAGTAATACCCGGGGGTAAATAAGAAATGTAATTTTCTCCCTCGCAAAGAAAATGAAGTACTCCGTACAAATCGAAATAAACACGGGGGTAAGTGAGAAAAATCTACTGCTCATTTATAAGTATAATCTACAATTTTTTAATGTCAATTCCAATGAGACAAAGGCAAATAAAGTGAAAGCAGGCGCTTAATAAAAAGCTCGTAAACTTTCGCGAGATCTCGGCTCGTACAGGAATCAGCGTCGCATTCCCTTAGCAAGACTTAGAAAAAATAAAGAAGGAGAAAAAAATGGTCGCGACGCATTAAAGATGAACACGTATTGTCATAATCCAACGATAATCTCAGTTTCTCCCGGATACGAGACTCTATCCGTTGTCCTCCAAGTCCTTTATGTCTTTTCACTCACAAACGAGACACCGCGATGCACTTTTTATACTTAAAGAATCTGGCAAATGATTTTCTTTATCTTTTGTTTTTCACGTCTGTGATTTCTTATTTCTTTTCGCGTTCGGTCAGACGACGATAATGAGTTTCCAACACCATAGCGAAAAATAAGTGCTAGATACTTTTGTAACCTATACTTCACTGATGTAGTATTTTCAATTTAGTCGAGTTTGTAAGTCATTTTCAAGACAAAATGAAGTTAAGGGCTAAAAGACCTTTTTCTGATCGTGATTAAAAGTTTGGATGTATAAGGGACTTATTTTTAAAATTGCTATGCATTAATTGAAGACATATTCATAAAAAACATAAAGCAACAACAACAACAACAATAATCACGTCGACGACAGCGGCGACGACGACGGCTCTAATTGTTATTGATATTTTGTAAACAAACTGATTTTATAAATAATAAATCACGTATATTATCTTCGCACAGTACGGATAAATAAATTATTAACTAACACTAAATCCAGTTTTATTAATAGATTCATAAATTTTCATTTATTATTAGTAATTTAATGATATATTTTCATCTAAAATATAATATTTGCATTTGTAATGCAGTAATGCTTGGATGAGACTATTTTCAATGGAATATATGATCCAAAATATAATTGGATTGTATTTTAAATATATGTTAAATAAGTGTGGAAAGTCAATACTATTCGTTGTAATAATTTTATAATGTAGAAAATATGTAACTTTTCGATTTATATTCCATTAGATGTGCAATTATGTAAATTGATGGAGTACATTGGATTGTTTTCTTTAACGTAACGTATAATATTTTAAATAGTATTACTATAATAAACCAGAACCGGGATATAAAAAAATAAAAAAAATAAAAAAAAATAAAAAAAAATAAAAAAAAAACTATGACATACAACAGTGATTATACCTAAAGCAAAAATTACCACAAGAAAAGCATAATTAATTTCTTTTTAGAAGTCCTGAGCATTCATCCATTTGATAGTTTATTATGTAATTTAAAAAGTAGTATAATACACGAGCATTTATTTAAATGGCTTTTGATATAAAAACTTACGAAGGCAAGATAAAGAGAGGAGTAGAAAAGCTGGAAATAAGTATTATTGGTATAAAAAATCAATATAAAAAAAAAATCGATCAGAATTACTCCTTTATCAACAAATTCTTATGCTTTACTTTTAAATATATTATTTTATAAAACTCTATGTATCCAACTATTTTGTACTTAGACATTATTTATATGTTATTAAAAATCTTTATTCGTTTAATACGTTCCTATAAAAGTCAACTTTAAGAATATTAAGAATAAATTATTATTCATTTTTCGGAAAATTGACTCAGCCACAGGCTAGCTGACGCGAGCATCGAATAAAATCACTCGAGTATTTGCACAACATAAAAATCATTTCGATTCGACAGAATCTTCGAAAGGACTAAACCACTTGCACAGTTCCATATTCCAATGGCTTTACAAGAGTTGCGACGACGAGATGGATAATATGCCTCCAGCAGTTACATATTATGCGGAAAAAACGGTGCGAATCCTTGAAGTAAATTACCAAATGCACGCTTAAGCGACACCACCAACGCCCATTAACAAAAGTCGAGTGAGGCTTTATCTTTTTTTTTCTTTTTTTTTCTTTTTTTTTCTTTTTTTTTTTTCTTTTTTTTTTTTTTTTTTTTTTTTTTTTTTTTTTTTTTTTTTTTTTTTTTTTTTTTTTTTTTTTTTTTTTTTTTTCTTTTTGAACTACCGTATTAAGACAATACAGCCGGGCAAGTCGCCCGATGAAACATCACAATAACTTCTC